GAGGCATTTGGCTACCTTAAGAGAGTCATAGTTACTCCCGCCGTTTACCCGCGCTTGGTTGAATCTCTTCACTTTGACATTCAGAGCACTGGGCAGAAATCACATTGCGTCAACATCCGTTGGGACCATCGCAATGCCTTGTTTTAATTAAACAGTCGGATTCCCCTTGTCCGCACCAGTTCTACGTCGGCAGTTTGATGCTTAGGGAGAGTCCCACGGCCCCACCCGAAAGGTGGGGACATAAGACATTCTACGCCCGTCGGCACACAGCCACGCGGGCTCCGCCCTCGCCGCGAGAGCAACTCGGGCAGACCACCGGCAGCCAACGACATCGAGGCGCAGACCCCTAGGCCCAGCCCTCAGAGCCAATCCTTTTCCCAAGGTTACGGATCCATATTGCCGACTTCCCTTACCTACATTCTTCCTTTGACCAGAGGCTGCTCACCTAGGAGACCTGATGCGGTTATGAGTACGGCCGGGCTTGAGAGGTACCCGCAGCTCAAGATTTTCAAGGGCCGTCGGGGGCGCGCTGGACACCACAGGACGCGCGGTGCTTTGCCGGGCGCTGCACCCTATCTCCGGTTGATCCGATTCCAGGGTGGGCGAGCCGTCAAGAAGGAAAGAGAACCCTCCCCACGGCCCCCGCTGTCATCTCCGGAGCTGCTTCCGTTACCGTCCACCTCCACAACCCGGTTCGGVAATATTAACCCGACCCCCTTTCGATGTGCGGTGCGCAGTGCGCCCTTGTTACAAGGTTTCCACATCTCTTAGGGCCGACTGACCCATGTCCAAGCGCTGTTCACATGGAACCCTTCTCCACTTCGGTCTTCAAAGTTCTCATTTGAATATTTGYTACTACCACCAAGATCTGCACTGGGACCCTCTTCACCTAGGCTCACGCTCCAGGCTTCGCAGCAGGCCCCGCGCCCTCCTTCTCGTCACGGCGTCAGAATTGCCGCGACGGCCGAGCATAGGTCGCGCGCATCAGCGCCATCCATTTTTGGAGCTGATTGATTCAGAAGGTGAGTTGTTACACACTCCTTAGCGGATTTCGACTTCCATGACCACCGTCCTACTGTCATTATCAATCAACACCCTTTGTGGTGTCTGGGTTAGCGCGCAGTTTGGCACCGTAGCTCGACTTTCGGTTCATCCCGCAGCGCCAAATCTGCGTACCAAAAATGGCCCACTTGGAGCTTTCATTGATCCTCGGGGTTCGCTTAAGCAACCTTGAAATCTTACCTGTTCACATGGAACCCTTCTCCACTTCGGTCTTCAAAAATTCTCATTTGAATATTTGCTACTACTACCAAGATCTGCACCGGGACCTGCTACACCTAGGCTCACGCTCCAGGCTTCGTTGCAGGCCCTGCAACCTCCTACTCGTCGCTGCGTGACCTGCGTCAGAATCGCCGCTACGGGCGAGCATAGGTCACGTGCTTCAGCGCCATCCATTTTCGGGGCTGATTGATTCGGCAGGTGAGTTGTTACACACTCCTTAGCGGATTTCGACTTCCATGACCACCGTCCTGCWGTCTGTATCAATCAACACCCTTTGTGGTGTCTAGGTTAGCGCGCAGTTTGGCACCGTAGCTCGACTTTCGGTTCATCCCGCATCGCCARWTCTGCKTACCAAAAATGGCCCACTTGGAGCTTTCATTGATCGTCGGGGTTCGCTTAAGCAACCCCGAAATCTTACCTGTTCACATGGAACCCTTCTCCACTTCGGTCTTCAAAGTTCTCATTCGAATATTTGCTACTACTACCAAGATCTGCACCGGGACCCGCTACACCTAGGCTCACGCTCCAGGCTTCGCAGCAGGCCCCGCGCCCTCCTACTCGTCGCGGCGTCAGAATCGCCGCGACGGCCGAGCATAGGTCGCGCGCTTCAGCGCCATCCATTTTCGGGGCGGATTGATTCGACAGGTGAGTTATTACACACTCCTTAGCGGATTTCGACTTCCATGACCACCGTCCTGCTGTCTGTATCAATCAACACCCTTTGTGGTGTCTGGGTTAGCGCGCAGTTTGGCACCGTAGCTCGACT